GCTGGCCTGACGTTGAAAATTCTACGTTCTCAGAGTCCTTCCTTGCCTTCAGATTCGTCCTGTTATTAGGTTCCCGACTCCCAAGAGGGTTGTGAAGGAAACCATGATCTCGAAAATATAAGGTTCTGGAACCATAGTCAGCCAAAGGACAAGATAAGAAACCTGAAAAAGGAAACTTGTATAGCAAGGGGCAATAACGAAAACTAATCACACGAATTGTCTTTTCCAAAAGATATGTGGGCCAACTGAACAGTAGAGACTTAAAGGCATACGGATTAGCCAGACTTGTGGGCAGGACACCATGAGGAAAATTGTAACGCTCGTACCTACCTAGATCACCCTAGCTTCGTCGCGAAAATTGCGCGATCTAGGCACTAATCCTTACAGGCCTGCAACCATCTGAGGCCCGTTGAAAACCGCTCCGCACCGCCCCCGCTGATCAGCAGCCCGATGTAAGATCAGCGTGCTCTCTCGAACGGCGTGATCTCTCGCGTGTTTTGTCTTCTTTGACCGCCCTGTCTCGCCATCGTACCACATCCGACCTTATTGAAGGTTAAGGCCTTAATTTCAGCGATTCCAAAGATTTCTCTTGCTTTCTTTCCCACTTTCAGGTCATTCCGTAGCTCATTGTCAGTTATCATTACGAATCGCTCTTATTATCAGTTTCCCGTGGCTTGCCTTTAGGAAGCTAGCTATAGCATGGGGCGAAGTTTTCTCCGTAGGTGATGTAGCAAGGTCGCTCAGTCCAGGAGTTGTAGCGTATATAGCCACTCGGAAGTGCACAGCAACATTGCTAAAGCCATGCTTTCTCGCAAATTCCCTTACTCGCCGCGTTCTGTCTATTCGTCGCAGCAGTTCACAAGAAAAGTGGTTAATAGTTCCAGAGCTTTTCTATAGTTTTTATATTTTTATTTTTATTTCCATGGTTTCTATGGTTCCTTTGGTTTTATTTCAAATTATTGGGTCCCCATCGCGCCTACTGCTTCATTCTTGAGTGGAATAAATGCATATGTTGCATTCTGAGTATAGTTCAAATAGATGCCGGAATTTGCACGAATTTTTTGGACCACTTATGGAAACCTCCAACGTTTCGTTCCCTCTGTACTATCTCTTAATGCTGCTGAATATGAATATCAGTCACAGTGGCGCTTTAGGGGAGCACCATACTCGGATAAAACATTAGCCGTTCCAAAGAACAATAGAAATAAATATTGGTTTGGGATAGGTATTGCATGACAATGTAGGAAGGGGATGGGTTTAATGGAGCTCCAAGGAGTGCTACTACATATCGCTGGGTCCTGCCAAATGTAAGAGTCACCTCTTAAGAGCACGCTCCGGGATTAGGCGCGCTCGCCTGTTCCATCCCGGGGTAGTAGACAGGCGGACAAGCGTTGATGTCGCGCCCCTTTTGCCGCTTGAAAGTGCGCGACAAAGGCGCAAGGAGCTCGTCCGACCCGCAACTCACACCTTCGTCCGCAAGCCCCACCCTCCGCTGTCGTTGCCACGTGGCGCTGCTTGAAAAGCGCGGGCGCATTGAGGCAGCGGTCCCATTGCGGTCAATGTCATTGGCACTGGAGCAACTGAGCTAGGTTCGTGAAACTCGTCCAACACGCCCCTTCTTATCCCAAGGTGGAATGCGGCTGAAAGAGAAGAGGTTCATAAAAGAGTACGTGATCGGGGGTTTCATTTACTTTCTTTTCCCTTTCCAGGCCACCTCTCACCTTTAGATTCATGAACGCCTCATACCCATTTAATCCTGAAGCTTGACCTTGAAAACCAAACGATCCATACCTCTGGTGATGACAGTATTACTATCGGATGAGTATGCTCGGATGGAGAACTACCCATACATATTTGGCTGGAGCATGAGGCGCTCGCATTCGGCAAAAAACGTTTAACCCTTTCGGACCTGAATTTTTTCCCGTGGAGAAATTTTTCTTCTAGCTATTGTTTATTACTTGTGAGCATATAGGTATCATTATGGCGAAATTTGGAAGCTATTCGATCACAAACAAAGAAACTAGGAAGCTTTGAAAATTGGCCCACCTTCTTAGTTTTTAGCTTATGTCGAAACAATTCCAAATTTCATAGTTATGCCGAAAAAGTTTATAATCTTGCATAACATTATAACCCATAATTTTGATTTAGAATGGATCTACTTCAAGTATTTTAAGAAGTGACACTTACTTGGCCGGTTGCGGGGACCAGCGCCGATTCATTGTTGCACTTGTACACAAATACTTGTAATACTAACAGCAACACACAATGAAATGGCAGGTTTAGCTCATAATTAGGAAGGGGAAGGTTGACTGAAGCAACCTCTAGCAGGATTAGAAAAACCATGCTGTTTCAGCGGCAATGCAAACATTTGAATTTGATGGTGGCAATTGCCACCGCCAGGGCCGAAAGGGTTAAAGCAAAACCCAAAAGCAAAGCCAAGCATAAAACTAATCAGTGATGTTCTTCTCGTCATTATTTACGACTTTGATTCCATTTCGCAAGAAATTACCGGGTTTAGAATTCAAAAAAGGGTACTGAGCCCGTTTTCAGAATCCTCATTATTCTCAATTTGTACGACGTGAATATGATTTGAAATTAAGGGTCGACTGGAGTAAGGTTCGATGATGACGATGGATTCCGAAAAACTCCTATTTTGGCAGCTTTTTTCTTTATATAGATTTTCGCACAACTTGCTTTTCCAACTTCTAAGCACCCTGAGTAATTTTACAATACAGGGGTGGCCAAAAAAAAAGAGACACTCAGCCCATGGTGCACATCATCGAACTTTTCGTCACACAGGGAGCCGATATTGTGTAGAAGGCTGTTGTTTAGCTTGTTGATAGATTATAACGTGCTCTTCAATATTCAGTTGGGGTCATTTGGTTTGGTTTCGCGAATTGATAATTAAATTGATAATTAACATTAAATTGATAATTAATTAATTAAATTGATAATTAACATAATTGCGTTCTGAATGTTGAGTGAAGTGACTCTTTTTTTTGGCCACCCCTGTATATGAAAAAAACGACAAACAAAGTGTTGTAGAGCGGAAGAAGCACTTCCAAATGATATACGGGATCTGTAGTTCTAAATTTAAATTTTTTCTTCTTTCATGAGAAGTCTTTGCTCATCCAAACATACACCTCTGTCATCTACAATGTATTGCCTATACAAGGGAATTTAGTCGCTGTCTTATCTCTAGAATTCCAGGAGCTATTGATCGAAGAAAGATCGGAAGTCGAGTTTGAGGTCATGTCACTTAGCGTAAAATTTCTTCCTGGGGAAGAGCGCTAGAGGTCAGACTGAGTTGTCTTTTGTTGGCACGAGGATAGGGCCACACAGAGGAGGTGAAAGAACTGCTAGCCTGAGAGTCTCCAATTTTTTATGAATATTCTCCGCAAGGTGGGGTCGAACGACCTCAGGAAAAAAGCAGACTTTGTCTTGCTTTACTTTCAAATTGAACGCGTCGCCATTACGCTGTAGATGTTGATCTTCTTCAGTGACCCTAGTATTACTGGGCGGCAGGTTCCCAGCGCAAGGGTACACAGCACCTAGTCCAGAAGCCCTGGTGAATATGCTGGATGATCACTGTAAGGAACTAAGGGAGATCAGAAGGAACATGATGATGTCAGATCGTGTGCGGAGCTGTTTCGAGGCTCAGAGCATACAAGATACAAACTTCAAATATTTTAAAATCTTTGCACTCTACGTAGATGTCTACATTCCATCATTTTAGCAGAACGGACAGTATGTCCAGACCCACCCTCAGCGGCGCTGGGTACAGCAGTGAGATTGCCAGTTGAGGGGTAGTTGGAGTGTGGGTCATCTTCAACTAAAAAAGCCAACCTCTCGATAGAGTGAACTACAAGCAGACCGTGGATTGAGGGGAGCGTGCCCTCGCCTATCTGCTGGTTGATTCTCTATGTTGTTGGGCGTTTGAAAGATCCTAATCAGAAGTGATAAGAAGGGAGCTCAAAAATAGGTTCCAGAAAAATTGAAGTATCAGCCACGGAAGGCAGCATGTAAATGGGCTGAGTAATTGCTCAGGTAGGATAATGTGGATGCTACTTCGCAAAACATGTTTCACGCCTTCACCATTTTTCTTGGATTTTTTATAACAATAAATGTAAAGTGATTCACTAAATATATGGGGCAACCTAATATTCGTATTTTAATATTTGTATTTGTAATTTGTAGCTTGAAAATAAAAACAGTTCGATATTATGCTCCAACCCAATAGATTAGTCAACTTTCGTACTCATTTTGCAGAGTAGACCTTTCAATACTATGCCTCGAGTGAGAGCAGAAGCCGTGGAACTTTAAAGGCAAAGGTCGGGCTCAGGCACGCTAGAGAAGTAATTCCCGTGCCTGGAGGTTGTATGTGGGTAGCTGCACACATTGCAGCAACTTCCCACCTTGAAAAACCCCGTTAAGGCCCCGGGGCGTTCGGTTTCAATCCAGGGCCGCCTGGTCAATCCAGGACCGCCCACCTCCGGAAGTGGTGCGTGGCTGGCGTGTGAAATCAGCTAGGTTGATTGCCGTATCAACCGATAGAACGACTGACATCTCCAGAAAACTTGTTTGTACGTGCCTCTTTCCCAAGCCAGCCTCCTTCACTGCTAGTGGGAAAGAGGGTTTTGTTAACGGCCTTGTCGACGGTTTTTCTCAGTTTTTTCTCCACTGTCGTTCCACTTCGCATCTCTATACTCAGTTTCAATCGCCATAATACCCCCTTATTGAGCCCGACTTTTGCCTTTAAATAGGTTTGATCAACGGCGAGCGCATCTCACTTTTGCTCTCGTTGCTTCTTCTTCCTGCATATTTTTCCATCTTATTAACACAAGCAGACGAATGACTCATAAGTGGTTGAAGAAGGACAAGTAATACAAGTCACAAGCAACCCGAACACGTAACACGAGTTTATTTGAAAGAACTTAGACATGAGAAACAAACGCAAGAGATACCCATGACAACTGGCGACGAGACGACTGGAGTTACTGTTACGGCGTATATTTGCATGAAGGCGTCTGAAAGTCAACTTCCTGTCAGAATTCTTGATTTCTCACCACACAGTCAGTAACCGGCTCGTTTAAGAATAGCTTTTAAGTTGAATTCGCATTAGTTTCCGACTTTTTTTTCTCGTTTTTTCAAGTTGGAATTTCGGATTCAAAAATTACACTGGGATCACCCCAACGTGTACTAGAGGAAAAACCTATCTTACATGCATAACATTTTGCCACAGTAGCTATTTCATGCTACAAGGTCGCCATCTCCTGTACATACACCATTTCACGAAAAAATGCATGTCACATGAGACGTGTGCCGGACTGTTTGAAGTGATGAATCAAGTGCCATAGACTGACGTTCAAGGGTGGTGATCCGAGGCCGTTTATGAAGAATGAGACTACCATACGACGTGACCCTCATCAAAATAGCAGACCTTGCAAGTGAAACCTAAGGGAAACCTAACCTCCGGGCAGGGTCAACCCTATGTTGCTACAAGTAGCAACGGGGGGTCGTATTTTGATGAGTTTGTAGAGGGGGGTCGTACTTGCTTCGGTTGTAAGAAGTTGCATGTGATGAGTGGGGAGCGGCGCGGGAGAAAATTTGCCGTTTCAGCGCGCGTATATACCCCCCTAGAAAATGGAGCAGTTGAAATATGGGTAAAATACATGGAAATTGTAGGGAATTTTTACGGTAAGTATATACCCCCCCCCGCTCGACGGTAATTTTTTGGGGTAAAAATTGTTTTGAAAGAGGGGGTCGTATGAAACATTTCATGAGGGAGGGGGGTCGTAAAAACTTTTTGAAAAGTAGCAACGATAGGACCGACCCTGCCTCCGGGATTGGAACCCTAGACGTCATTGCTCTTACATCACAATGCTACTACTGCACAAATGAGCAACACTGATTTCGATGAAAGGGGTTTTGATATAGCGAGTGGCTAGATTTGCGCCATACTGATCCCACAAAATTGCCTGTGCGAAAATGTACTACAGTGTTTGCATGGCTGATCACTCAGTTTAAGTACTGATAAACTAATAGTGCGTCCGAAGTACGCCACGCCAGCTAAGATGGCAGTTCGTTTTCTATGGATAACGACCTTAGATAACAAACTTTTGGTCACACTCATGTCGTGACCATGAGGTCTAGCAATACGCTACTTTTCGAACGCGACCATCTCTCCCGCTCCTCTGCAACATTACCACCTCCCCCAGACTCCCTTCTACCCAAGATTCCACTCGAAAAACACCTGGAAATCTGAAGTCCTCACGCTTTGACCACCAACACACAGAAATCAAAATGCGACTCCCATCAACAAAAAAACTCAACAACGACCGCCTCGATGATAAATTACCAACAGGCGGTTGACCCTGACTTGAAACTCGGAAAAGTTGACAACGCCCTACCGGTACGGCGTTCAGATTTGGTGGAAGTTGCATATCATTGAACGGCATATAGATATGAGAGTATGAGACAGCATCCACCATAGAAAATACTAGAATATCGACTTTCAATATAGATTCATTAGAGCACGGTTGTGGCCACAAAAGCTCACCAGAAAACCAAAATACGTCCTTTATATCAAGATTTCCAGGAAGCCGTAGATGTACCGTTTCATTATGGTAGTCTCGCAGTGATTCGCAATCGAACATTTTTAATTCCCTGGAAAATCGTGCCGATGGATAGATTTCAAATTTCGAATGCTATAAAACATTAACTATGGTCAGAAATCAACAAGATACTACTGTTCCTATGATCCAGAAAAAAAGTGAAAGACTGCCTAGCTCAGCGTTTTCAGATGGAAACTATAAAACTTGAAGCCACAATCAGGGAATAGGTATGTTCACTTGCTCCATCCTCGATCCTCATAGACATTTAGCCTTAGCGTTGCGGCTCGTCATTGGCACTAATAACGAATGGAGCTAGCCCTTCGCGACTCGTCCGGCCACGCGTCTCCTTCATCCCAAGGTAGAATGCGACCGAGTTAGGGGGCATGATCGGCGTTTCTTCTGCTTTCTTTTTCTTTTTCAGAGCACTCCCTACCTCCAGCTTCATCATTGAACGCTCTTACGCACGAGCACGAACTATTTCCATTTTCCTTACTACAACTGCCGTTGCCGAGCATGTCGAAAATGGCTGGACGACCAAATCTATACTTTACAGGCATATAACTGATACAATTGGTGATAACCACATTTGAAGTACACAATCTTGTTAAAAATTGTGGTATGTAAATAAAAGGAGCTCAAATGTGACAAAATCTCTGACTAGGGAAACCTTTCAGAGAAGCCAATTTTTTTAAAACGGTTATTTGCATCACTTAGGGGCACATGCGTGAGCCATGATTCGTTTTTCCTTGTGAGTACCAAAAAAGGGGTGATGAAGTGGTACGTGGTTCGATTCCTCGCGTGACAAATTTTCCACTTTGTGTTAGCGTTTCAGAATTTTCGCGACATAACGTAAGCGCCAAGAATGGATTTCATGTTCATGATTGGAACCATCAATACCCCTCACAAATAGTTTTCGACTAATGACTAGTGATGTCATTCGTGACACCAAACCGGCACCAATTTGGCATTGAAAGGCGTTAATACGGCACCAGATGAATAATGAATAGAACACATATGTTACATTATGAATGCATATAAAGAGTGGTTCGTTTCGCCTCCAACTCAGACGAACCACTTTATTCCGTCAATCCCAGGAGGCTCCTCAGTGAGGCTGGGAATGACAGAATTAGTCTGATTGGTAAAGGTTATAAGAAACTAATGAAAAGGAATTATAAGGACCAGTGTAAAACAAACACATCTATAAAGAACAGACTAGCTATAAAGCAAATATTGTTGGATAAAAATAATATACCTATTCGTATCCCTAAAAATTGTATGGTATACTGTAGAACTGATACTCAGCCACATCAAGTAGTTAAAAGAGAGCATATTTATGTCAGCATAAGAGTCTGCATTTGAAGGTTATAATAAACTAATGTATAAACATGGACACTAATTAGACTATGATTGAGAAAAAGGAGAGTTTGTATAGATGAATGGTTGATAAGGGTGACCAATTATGAATAAATTAATAAGAACTAATAAACTTTAACCTATTACTGTGATCCACTCTTGAACCATCCTTTTAATTTTATTGAAGTCATCATTCAAAGAATATTTATAACAAATGTACTTATTTCTGTAGATACATTTAACTATACTAGCTAAGATGAATTCTTTTTCATACTCATTACCAATGAGTATACTTATCATTTCTTTTATTTTAATAATAAATTTGTCCAATCTTGTACATGTGTTAGCTATTCTAAGGGCTTCTGTATATATAACTGAAGATTTATTACTTTTACTTATGTTAGAGTTACTATGAGGAAACCTGTTAACTTTGAAATTAAAATCATCCGTTTTGTTATACAATTCTGTGACAATGAAGTTATTATCTATACTAATTTTAAGATCTAGGTAATTACTATGTTTATTGGTGATATGAGTTTTTTTGAGCTCAAGAATATGGTTATACGCCATTTCAAGTTTACCTTCTATATCAACTTCTTCTATATTATGTATGATCAAGAGATCATCCATATATCTATATGGTTCAAAAATGAGGTTCTTATGTTTCTTGTAATTTCTCGCGAAATTATATTCCATAACTGACAGTGTTAGATCGGCTAAAAGTGGACTAAAATTACCTCCTTGTGGAACACCTTTTATTTGTTTGAATAAGTTATTTCCAAAGATACAGAAACTGTTGTTAAGCAAGTATTCTACTAAATATAATAAATCTTGTATATTATAGTATCTATAGTTGGTTTTGTATTCTATACCGTCTGTATATAAAACATGTGAACCGTTAGTTGCAATATAAGACTTGTTTGCATTCTTAAATAATAACGAAAGTAACTCACTAATACATTTGATAATAACATTGTGTTGCAAATTAGTGAACATATCTACAAAATCAGCCGTATATATCTTGATATCGTCATATTTAATGCTGCATAATTCCTTGCTTATGTTTATATTATCTATAGCCCAATAAGTCTTGATTGTGCCTGTTCGTTCTTGTATTATCTTAACATATTTAATAAAATGCTTTTTGAAATGTGTGAAGATCGTTTGAAGTTCTTTAGCCAAAGGTTTAGGCTACTCTTTCTTGTGTTATAATCGTAATCAAGGTGTTGGATAACCCTCATAACCGAAGTTTCACGAAAAATAAAATTTTGATCCAATTTCAGTTGGACCATGGGTATGTCAATAGCCGTCAGGCCTGACGGTGGATGACTTGAAAGCGTCCTTGTCATCTAGAACCCTACTTTAGGAATGGGAAATCCCAAACCTACAATAACAATGACAAACACTCAAGTCGATGGTGGCCGAGGGACCACGCACGATGACTAGGTTGCTAGGTTCTCCTTCCACCAAGCAGTGGTAGCTTGAATTTTGAGCCCTGCCACTGGCTAGACCTCAAAGAACGCAGAACGAAGCATGAGACGTTCCATACGACATGAAACCTCAATTTCAATGTTTATCACTAGAGGGTACCCTAATTTCACGCTCTCAGCTCGACTCGAAGCCGTCCGTGCACACAGGTCGTATTGTCTCTTCGGCGGGTCCAATTTTTCAAAATGGGTCAAAATTTCGATTTCCCCGAAGTCTTGGTGTGGGGTGAGGTTGGGCCCTGATCACGAAGATGGGATTCTTTTTTGAGGGAGGACAGAGCAATTTGGCACGATTTTCGCGCCGTTACATGTTTCACCCATAGTCGGAGAAAACGGCGAGCTCAGAGGGATTACTTGTGACCTGACCATAAATATGGGTCTTACATGGAAATAGTACCACATGGTAGTCATGCTGAGGTGCCAGCCAAACATGCAAAAAGTACACGCTGTGAGGAGTCGAATCAACAACCCTCTGCAGCAGTGTCAACTAGAATTTTTATACCCAATGGATCATTGGGCCATAGAGCCCACACATATTTAGACAATTAATTCCCTTATGAAACCATTACACTTTCGCCAGCACATACATACATAGCTCCTACCAATGGAACATGCAAAAAACCGTTTTGAAACGCTTGGCATCCCCTGAAAGACCTTCCTGGTGAGTAAACTCAAACTTACATGCAACATTGATCGTATTAGCCGCTGCATCCACCCAAGCAATGAGGGTAGATCGTTTCGGAAGGGCCCAATGAGTAAATCATGTCTAGTAGTCTGGGGAAGTGGGTCGATTTTTTTCCGTGAGGATATTTGGAGGAGGAAGTCAGATTTTGGGAGACACAGAAAATTTTTACGGAATATAGAGAACTTTCAAACTGCCGTTTTCACATTCACGACACCACCCTTCGCGCGCTGGACGCACTTTTGTGGTTTTGGAGAGCGGAATTTTAGAGACTCAAGACTGAACCAGGTTTTACGACACTAGACATATTATGGATCGTTGGAGGGTTGGCGCGTTGGAGACGCCAGATCGCAAAATCCCTCTCTACGTGGTATTTGACCACCCTAATGATGCACCACTGTTTTTCGCTATTTTAGAACGACCAATTCGTCGATGGGGACACTATGAACCAAGTAAATCGGTGAATTCATTAAACCAAACGATGTGCATCATTTCCATGGTTTTTGATAACTTGGACCCATGTTTCATTTCTTTTACACGGACAAAGAATTATGAGCAAAAATTTGTGCCTTAGATGGGATTCGAACCCGCCTTCTTTCTTTCCGTGCTTTACTTATTCGTAAGATATGAAGCTCTTCTCAGTATACTTCTGTGATATTGGAAAATATGCAAATTCGAGTGCAAGGCGATTGTCAGACACTCACAAGCGATTCGCGCCAATTGCTAGCGCCAAAGTGAGGCAGCTCTTTGAGAATCCTGATAGATCCATGGTATCCGCAGGCTGCCGCTCAGCACTACCGTATTCTTATGCTTTCCCGATTCATTTGAGAAAGCACTTTGTCAGCCCCAGATATCGTAAAAAGCCAGAGGATAACAACCGCTCTTATTTGCGATTTTCAAAGCAAATTAGCCTTACCGGAACTATGTACATGTTACTTTGTGACACAAAAATGGAATATTTCTGAAGATATTCACGGCCGGCATGAATCAGCGCTCATTTCAACAACGATACGGCGTTTTTTTTTCGAGAGAATCTGTCGAATCGACAAACCGACATTTTACAATGCCGGTAGAAAACCCATTACCGCCCACTGGCGAAAAACCTGGAAAGAAGATACATGTGATGAAGGTGCAACTATCCAACCATTACGGATCAATAGTGGGACGATGTGACCGTTCGTGTTCGGCAATATATCCTTCCCAATCATGAACCAAACAGCTGGCATCGGTTCTCAACACGAAATCACTTATCTCGATAGTTTTTACATCAAATACCTGCAATAGATTAAAATTTGATTTCAACTCGTAACAATTAGAAATCTAGAACAGTACTCGGATTGGGCCAGAACTAATGTTGAAGAGCCCATTTGGAGATAATCCACGTAGTTGAACAATTCCAGGTATTTGAAATGCTGGACCGTTCGGCAACAGAACTGAGGCCACCGTCTCCTTAATATAAATTCACTGCTATTCAAAGTTCTTAATAGACCGTTCTGATTACTTACAGATGTCGCGCGCAGTAACTGCTTAAGGTCGAGCAGCACCATTCCTGACGAGCATTCACACTACAGCTTCTTCAACAACGAAGTTATTACGCCACATGACGCTTATGGTCCCGTAATGAGATCCAGTGAACTGATTTCGTGACAATTCCTTCAGGAAGCGTTAGAAGAAGTGGTTGAAATCCTGCGTACCATTCAAGAGGTTGAGCGTACTGAAATACAGAAAGGATAAAGGATGAAGCGATCGGCGTTACTCAGTTTCCTTTGAAATAAGCCACGCATTCTAAATTAGAAATTATTGAACGTGCATTGGTGTATATTAATCCTTCGACGGCAATGGCACCCACCGGTGAGTGCCACCTTAAAATTCCCTACTTCGTGCCTTCAAAACATTTGTAACACCCCATTAATTGTAAGCAAGTTTATACACCCCAATAATTATAAGCAAGTTCCATAATATCTATGGCTAGCACGACTTACAGAAATGTTTACTAAGAGCTAATTTATATAGAATTTTAGAATGTGCCATTTAGCTCGCCACCATATTAATTGGGGTTTTAAATTATTAGGCCGAAGATTAATTACTAATCAGGACTTCTTCGTCTTCTCATAGATATGGGAAGGGGTTTGAAGTGTACCGGAAATTCTCTTGGACACTTAAACTTTTAGAGGTTTTGCCCTCCTTCCCTTTGAAACGCGAGTTCCCCTCCAAATTTGGAATTCTCTTGAAAATAATTTACAGTATGAAAGCCTAGAACTGCAGTTATAACTGGTATACTGTTAAAGTCAAAATTCTACAGAAAAATGCTTTGAAGGACAATTTTGCCTAATTTTGAGCGAGAGTTGGGCGCGCCAAAAACAGGCGTGGTCCCACGAGCAAGCTACGTGCAAATCCGCATTGTCGTCAAAGGGTTAAGGACGTGTGAGAGCCAGTCTGAGTCCGAGTTAATGATGTTACCCTACCAGACAGGCTACAGGCTTGTGTCTATTACGAGGGATGGAAGGCTCGGTTGGCCTGGAGAAGGTTCGGCAAGTGTTTGGCACCACCTCCACTTAACCACCTCGTCCCCACTTAGTGAAATTTTTTTATTGACGTACATATTAGATGGATATCGAGCAATAAAGGCTGCTCAAATTCAGTATAATCGCATACTTCCTACTCTACGCTATTTCAAATCTATATCGAATTTTACAATATCGCAACTGCGGTCTTCTTCAAATATCTCAACATTCCTAATTAATTCTAGTTGAAGCGGCTATAAAGCGAGTAAAGGGTTGAACAAATTGTTGGTAGTACTAGTCCATTAGTAACACAAGGTTTCAGTAAGGTTGAACTCTCCAGCCACCCATCTGACAAAGATACACAAGGAATACTTGAAGGAAAGGAGTGAAGTCCATACTGCCTCTGAGCGACTCTAATGCTGTTCCACTTCACTTAGCTTTAATTCTGAGAAGTTCTTGCAGCGTGAAACAAACGTGTAGTTTTCTTACTAGAGTGCATCAAACAGAACTGTTGCAAAAAGATGCGTTCGGGGGGAATCGAACCCCCGTCGAATGCTTGGAAGGCATCCATGCTAACCATTACACCACGAACGCTTGTGACGAGGTGCGACAACCGTTTGATCAAAGAGAGATAACAAGCTGTGCGCACAGCGAACAAAACTCTTTGAGTGTAGACGTCACTCAAATCTCATGTACTGCACACAGGACCTTTCTTCTATGACTATATAACTAGTAGAGATGTCTTGAAAAAACTCCGATTTATTTTTATGTGCATTACCCTAATTCCGAACTGATTCACGTCGTCCTACAGTTTCTGATACACGTCGTCCCATAGGTTGAAAAAATGTTATAGTAAAAAAAGAAAAATGCCAAAAACAAGTGCTTCAGTAGTCTCACGCTGTAATTAATCTTATCCTCCTCTGGTTGACGAATTGTGAAACCAGCGGGCCCGATCGTATTGAAGGGTGCTTCAGATGCACTTGCAGAATCCAAGCTGTCGTGTAACATACTGGAATTTCAGGATACCTTATCCACCATAAAGTGATTTCATTTACTTTTCTGGAGTCTTGCAGAACTCTGTCATTTATTACAAATGAAAAAGGGTTCAAATACCTTTGCAAGTCGGCCGATGACCCATTTCCGTTCAGCTGAATTGCACCTTCCTTAAAGGAAAAGAAATATGAAATAGTTCAAATTCCAGTCAAGACCGACAGCACCGCAGAACCCCATTGCAAATCAATTTCACGCGGGGAAAAGGTAGGCAGAAAAAGCAAATAGCAAACTTACATGCCCTCATTTCAACCGGATTCTCAAATAAACTTTGCTCGGGAATCACTGGATCTTCAGTTATTAAGTGAGTGCGCTTTGAAAGAGAATGTTTGCAAAGAAATACACTGCAGGATTTCGATTGAATAACCTTGTTAGTAGCATTGCCCATCAGTAGATATTCCAGTTTGAGGAACGGGAGGGGGAAGGGTTGCGCAAGTCCCTCTTATTTTGCTACACCGCAAAAGCCTCCTCAAAAAAGCTTCCAATTTTCGTCTTTTGACATCCTCCCCAGTGAGTTATTCCTCGTGCGTGAATTGGGTCACTCGTTTTGATCACGTTGAAACTTCAGGCCATCTAGCCATCATGGTAATGAGTGTTCCACCTAACCATCATGTTGGTATACGATTAGTATCGAAATTGCGTGAAAGAGTTATTCGACCTTACCCCCATGGGTAGCTCCACTTGATTTTGACTATCGCCAGTGGTCGACTCCTCCTCTGCTTCTGGCGGTATGTCGGCTAAAATATTACCTGCTTTACACTGAACTTCAGGATTCTAAGAAATCTGTTAGTAGAGGTGAACAGTCGTTGACATTTTTCTCCTTACCATCTCTTCGTGCTCGCAACGGATCGCCAAACTTCTTGGCCTTCTCTGTGATTGGTTCAATAGGATTTAGCCCGTTGAGCAGAAGATTTGTTACCGCTAATCCACTCCTTGCCCTTGCTTCCATGGGCTAAAATATTGTTTCCGGGGATTAGCGAACACCGAAAATTTTATGCCACAAATTAGAAGGTTACTGCACTCATCGTTTTATTTGCTGTCACTTACCGGTAACTGATCTACGGCGAAGGTGGAGACGTCGATTGGTTGTGGACGTACGTAGAAGCCATTGCTCGACGGAAACATGTCGGCCAGCACGTTCTCGGTCTGATTTAGAGGTCCCAACCAGAACGTGACATTCTCTGCAAGAGATACCCTTCACGTGAAAAATTGGCAAACTGCTTTCATCACTTCACGGATACTTGCACACCAGTTCAATGTACTAATTTTCACATGTGGAACCGAACTCAATGTGCTCACATTGGACAGGAAAATGGCGACCTCTCAAAGCAACAACCTCAGGTCAAATTGGTGGGTTGAAGGCAAGATTCGGGATAAAATAGGTGTGGAAAAGCGTTCAGTTATGAAGCTAGAGGTGGGAGGTGGTCTGTAAAAGAGAAGGAAAGCAAACGAAACCACCGATTACGCCCCGCACAGAGACCTCCCCTATTTCAGCCGCATTCCACCTTGGGATAGAGAAGGGGCGCGTTGGACGAGTTTCACGAACCTAACTCTAGTTGCTCCAGTGCCAATGACATTGGATCGCAATGGGACCGCTGCAAATGCGCCCGCGCTTTTCAAGCAGCGCCACGTGGCAACCGACAGCGGAGGGTGGGGCTTGCGGACGAAGGTGTGAGTTGCGGGTCGGACGAGCTCCTTGCGCCTTTGTCGCGCACTTTCAAGCGCAAAAGGGGCATCAACGCTTGTCCGCCTGTCTACTACCCCGGATGGAACAGGCGAGCGCGCCTAATCCCGGAGCGTGCCTTTAACAGCGGTCGACAATGAAATTGTGGATGCCGATTTGACTAACAAAAGAAAACTGTGCGAAGCAAAGCACCAATGACTCCCTTGTGTGCGCGGACGAGTTGTATTGAACTACGCTCCATTACTTCGTAATTCACGTCGGGTCATAGGAAGTGGTGAGATACCTCGTCCATTAGCTTACCACAGCTCTCCTTAGCATACTTTGCGAGGCACTAGCGCCATTGTTGCGCACTTTCGAGCCGCGACAACGGCACAACTGTGAATCGCGGGCTACCTTATCCTACCCACAAAATAGATTGTTCGACACGACCTCACTGGGGTTGTTGCTTCAAGTGATGCTCTTGAACCAGTGAGCAAGAGTTGCGTGAGCGCAGATCAGGCAACTCAGTCTCACTATGAAATTGATATATCAATTGTAGAAGATTACTTATAGTTCATAATTACCCACCGGACAGAAGAGAACCGGGCTGGAAGAAGAACTTCGAAATAATGAATCGTTTGTCATCCACAACCCAGACGGCACCGGAGGGTTTGAATTTCTTTGTGGCACCAAGCTGAAGCAAATATTCACTTACTTAATAGTGTCGAACATCATTTAGCAGGCGATTTCACATGAAATAAAGCCATCAAGCGCTGTCATTCTGCACCTTATATCCGCGCGTAAGTAAGAAAGACGACTCGGCAAAAAGGATCACCGAAACACTTCAGCGAATTTTTGTGATTCCTTGATTTATTCCCTTCAGTTAAGTAATCATTTTATTCATGAATTTTTTTTGCATTTTTGTTCGTTTTTTGCACTTAGGTGAATGTGTTAACTAAAATCAGAAA